CACCCTCACTTTCCAGCTAGCTGTCAACAGCATTTGGAACTCAGGACTTTCACGTAGCATCCAGAAACTCCACCTACAAATGTGCCAGCTTCACACATCTCTCACTGTTTTCAGGAATGACATGACATGATTATAACCCAAATACTAACATTCTTCCTTCGCTTTCTGTGACAAGGTGGCACATAAAGGAGTAGAGCAGAACTAGAGGGGACAAGGACTATTGCACCTCCTGAAGTTTACAGGGGAATCGGTGTTGCAGCTACAATTACAAAGTAAGATCATAAGATGTTGGAGCTGAAGTAGGTCATTTTTATGGACCAGACCAAACCCCTCAAATTAAGAAAAAGTTAGGGTCTAGGCCAACTGTAAGGCATTACATTCCAGATGCAATTTGATTGGTCAAAGTACTCAATGCTAAGCAAAACACACTTCATTTTTACACTACAGTTAAAATACACACAAAATAAAGATAAAATAAAATAATTGGCTTGATTGTAACTATCGAAAGACTTAAACTAATACATTTTTTTATTAACTATTACTAAGTAACTGTTCCAATATAATAACATCCGATAAACACGCTCTTGGCGAAGGCAAGTTCAGTAAAGCAGACTGTCTCACATGCAATTCTAGCAGTAGAAATAGAACCCCACTTTTAGTGCTCACAGACAGAGGAATAAGAGCTTGCAGATCCAACTTCAAGACCCCATCAACTGCAGAAAGCTAAAAATAAAAATAAAAATCCTGGTTCTACGGACCTTGACCTCACCTATTCAGGCTGCTAGTATTGTTCCAACTTTTAAAAAACCCAAACCCTCACAAACTGTTTACTTTATTGGCTTTGAGCAGACTATTTTTCACTTGTCTCAACTTTTCTTCATATAAAAAACAGGGACAAAATACACCTCTAAGCCATAGTATTGTCACACCATTCAACCCATTGAGTCTGTTCTGCCAATGATATCATGGCTGATCTGATGCTCCTGACCTCCACTTTCCTGACTTTTGCTCATAATCCATGATTCTCCTGATTAAGTATATTCAAGGTTGCGACAAATTTTTAATGATCCAGCCTTGACAGCTTTCCATGGCAAAGAATTCCACAGATTCACGACCTTCATTAGTCTTAAATGTGCAACCCCTTGTTTTGAGATTATGCGATGTGGTCCTAGACTCTCCCGTGAGGTTATGCACTTTGGCAGGAAGAACAGAAGAATTGGATATGATTGGGGGTGGGGAAAGAACTGTAGAAAAGTGCACAGAAGAGATCTGAGGGCCAAAACGAACAAATAGCCCGAATCCAAATTCAGCTACTAATAGGGAAGGCAAATAGATTGATGGCCATTATTTCCAAGGGAATGGAGTTTAAAAATATGGAAATCTTGCTAAAAGCATAAAGCCATTATTCAAATTACAGATGAAATACAGGAACAAAAACAAAGTTGCTGGAAAGCTCAGCAGGTCTGGTAGCATCTGTGAAGGAAAAAAAAGAGTTAACGTTTCAGGTCCAGTGACCCTTCCTCAGTACCGATTGATGAAATTTCATCACAGATGAAACACTGTGAACTGCTTTGGTCCCCATACCTAAAGAATGATATGCTGGTCAGGAATCCTTTATCCAGAAACCTTGGGACCAACTGGTCTTTAGATAAAGGTATTTGCCGATACAATCCCAGAAGTCCATTTGGCACCTCTGGCAAAAACTTTACTTGGCCCTATCAGACTTAAAAATGATCTTTCCAAAGGGCTTGAGCTCAGCAGATCTACAGGTTTGCTCTCGAAAAGACCTTCAGATTTCAGCTCTTTTTAGTTTTCGGACATGCAGATAAAGAACGGCTGACCTAACGGGAATTGGAAGCAGATTCTAGATCTGGAGGAGAGCTAACGTAGGTTGGGGTCATACTCTATTGTAATTTAGAAGAAGAAAGGAAACCTTATTGAAACACAAGAGATTTTTAGGGATTTAAAAGGGCAGATGCTGAAAGGTTATCTTCCCTTTTTACAGAATCTAGTATCAGATGGCATTCTCAAACTGTGGGATCAACCATTTAATATAGAGACGGAGAGGAATTTCTTCACTCAGAGGATAGTCAATCTGTGGACTCCTTTACCACAGAGGGCTGTCAAGTAAGGGAATCAAGGGCTACAGGGAAAAAGCAGGAAAGTGGAGTTGAGGATGATCAGATTAACCACGATCTCATTGAATGATGCTGCAAACTCAATGGACTGAATGGCCTATTTCTGCTCCTATATCATATGGACTTCTAGATAGTGAATCACCCCAGTGAGAGTTTGGCTACAATAGATTCCTAGTATTTGACATCACTGAACACAAGAATTCTTATCCCCTCAACTCTCAGCTCACCTTCAATCTGCTATCTGACATAAAGAGTAAACTGCAGATGGTGTCACCACAGAACTGTTACTTTGTGCCCAATATCCTTCCCTCCTGATTTTCCATTTTCAGCCAGTCAGTTGGGAACTGCTGTCTGATCAGCCACAGGGGTCCTGAAATTTGATTTGCCATTCCCAGCCACCAGTTCAGACTCTGCTGCTGAACATACTTTAAAAGCTAATACACGATTCAGCAGACAAAAGAGGGCTACATCTGTGCTAGGAATAATATCAATGGGGTAGCACAAAGAGATTGCTGATGGCCAGGCACATACATGTTGACTGTATTGTGGGCCTGCTAGACAGCTTCCTATCACAGTCAAAGAGCATGGAAAAGTCCAACTTTCAGCTGACAGAGGATATACACAGAGCAAGTTCCTGTCATACTGCAGATCCAGAGGAACTGTCACTGTTGCTCCATTATCTTTTGCAGCCAATGCAATGACAAAAATGTCAAAGAAAGTTTATCTTTTTTATAAAGCTTCTTCAAAATAGTCTACTTGAACTTGGGGAGCCAAGTTCTGATGCACATATATGTTCACCTACCTGGTAGTTCTTCCAGCTACCACAAGCTTCACTGACTGTCATCTTCCCTCACGTAGGTGCCATGACAACTAATTGTTAGTACCTAGTTATACCCAAAATCTTTCACCCATAAATCCACTATTTCACCTGACTCCCACACAAGGACTGAAGCGAGAACTTGTTGTTTTAACTTAGAAACAGAAAATAAAATTGACAAAGACCAGAAAAGGGTGAAAGATCACAATGTGCTTATGCAGGAATTCGATATTAGTTTGTCAACAGGCTGTGACATTAAAGCACAAAATGGAAATCTTAAAAGGTGTTTTCGTTAAAAAAAAGTAAAACCTTACAGAAACATCCTAAACTTCATACTCCCAAGCTTGAAGATTTGGGTTTTGTATTTTTTTTTATTAAAGAGGTTGAAAGATTCCTGCATGTCTAGACCAATGCAGGTGGAAAAAGCAAGGAATTTCAGGAGTTGAATATTATTTAAATAGAGAAAGGCTGCAGAAAGTAACAGAACAGGAGGTATTTGGGAGCTTTTATTCTTGAATCACAAAAAGCTAGCATCCAAGATCTGGGGGTGATGGGGAAGGCAAATGGGACAGAGAATAAAAATAGGGAGGTTTTGATAAAGCTATACAAGGCACTAGTCAGACCACAGCTAGAATATAGTGAACCGTTTTGGACCCTCTATCTAAAGGAGATATACCAAAGCAGGTTCACTAGGCTCAATCAGAATATTGAGGGGCTGTCTAATGTGAAGAGGTTGAATATGTTGGGCCTATACTCATTAGAATTTAGAAGAATGAGAGGCAATCTTATTGAAACATGATCAAAAATGATGTTGCTTCATTAGTCAGGTGAAGACACAAACCTCTGGAAAATCTCAGTTTTTATGGCATTGTAGAAAATGTATTCCTTACTTCATTCTACTTCTGAGCAGCTATAAACCAGCAAACTATTGTAGATGGCCTGATTTGCTTGTGGCAAATAACATACAACATGTTTGTTTTGACCGAAAATAAGAAATGCTGGAGATCACAAGTCAGGTAGCATCTATGGAGAGAAAGCAAGCTATCACTGAGTCCAGATGACTCAGTAACAGAGCTGACATGCAGTATGTTGCATTTATTTCTACAGCCTGCTTTAAAAAGAGTGTTTTAAAGTTTGATGATGGCACCATTTTAAATATCAAAACCCAAACATTTAAGAATGGTATATAGTTACTTGCAATTATGTGTAAAAGTGCTGTTACCCTAGGCCAAAAGCACTGAACAGGGAACACAGTTTTTATTTATTCATTTGCCTAAGTGCTGAAGACAGAACAGTTAACATTTGCAGTCAGATATAACTTCTTTGGAATGCTTCAATGCTCCAGCACTGTTTGTATTTCAGATTTCCAGTACCCACAGTATTTCGCATTTGTAATACAGGTACAGTTTGGGTTTACTAGCTCTGGTTTTAAAGCCATAAAATTATACATCAAGTAACGGGTTAAAGTCAAAGCAGCACGTACTTATTCTGGTCAAAAACTGCTCTCGTTAACTTTGCCGGCCTAAAATTTCATTGTTCACCGCCACACGTTATGAAACCAAGTGATCCACAAACATTAGCCGAAAAGTGCATTTCTCTGTCTTTTTTTCAGTTCCAATTCAAAGACTGGCATTTGAAACTTGAAAAGCAATCTCGCTTCACGTCAGTCCTAAACTCTTCGTCTTTTCCCGAACTCTAGCTCTCCACCCCACCAAACTCGGGTGATGTTGAATAAATGAACACGAGAAAGCACTCAGCTTTCATGCATCAATTAAATAATGAAAAGGCGACTTTCAGGTCTGTGGGTACCAACACAACGGGCAGCATAGAAGAAAAATCACACTCAAACAGCTGCCCCCAAATCGGAGTTCTCCTGATCGGTAGTGACAGATCCAGGAAGAACGAGAAACAACAACAAAAAGGAAACCAACAGTTGAACCACAAACTGAATTTTGACGAAAAGAACTAAAACAAAAGTCAAACCAAAAAAAAACTGGATAAACTCAGTTTCACAGGGCAAAATTTGTGAAAAGAAAGCAGTTTACCTGCCACCGGCCAACAGTGAGGAAGAAAAGCGAGAAAGGGATGGCCGTGCCCGACATGGCATGTGTGGAGGGCATCCCGTACTCGGAGTCGTAGAATATCTCCACCTTGACCACGGGAGGAGAGCGGGGCCTGGGCCAGCGAATGATGTCTTTGGTACACTGGCCCAGGTACATGACCCACACCCAGATAACGATAAGCCGGCGGCCAACATACGGGTCGATGTTCCAGAGCCAGAAGGGGAAGAAGGTGATGTAGAAGAGCTCGTTGCCCAGCTCTGTGCCGAAGCTGAACAAGTAATAGAGCAGCCGGTTGCGGATGATGAACTCAGTGCCCCCCGCCTCCTCGTTCAGGGAGTTCCTCCGCCTGGGTTTCTTCTTCTCGGTTGTCGGATCGGCAGCCCCCTCGTCCTCCGCCACTTTGCTTCCCGGGGTGTCGCCGCACGACGGCGGGCAGGCGACGCCGTTCTTCTTGCCGCAGTCCGAGTGAGGGGAGGGCGGCTGGTCCCCGCCGCGGCGGTGCGTGGCGCCGCTCCGGTTCGCCGTGTCCCCGGCGGGAGGCCGGCAGTCGCCGTTAGCCTGCGGCGGCGGGGGCGCGGTGTGGACGGGCTGTACGCCGCATAGCTGCTGAAAGCGGGCCACTTGGTCGGGGTGGTTCAGATAGCGGAACAGACGCCGGCAACCGTCCGCTTTCAGCCCCATCTCAACGGTCGGTGGCTCGCCCCCTCACTCCCCAACCGGACCACCCTCCTTTCTCTTCTCCCAACCCCCACTCCCGGGAGCCGGGCCTCTCCGATCCACCCGGCTTCTAGAAACTTCTCTGGCCGATTCAGTCCGTCCAGATTTTCGTTCCTTTTTTTTCCCTTCACTCTATCCAAGCTCAGAATGAGATTGAAGGAGAGGGGTGTGTGTGTGTGTGTGTTATCTGTTCGGGGAGGGGAGTCTCGACGTGCTCGCGTCCGCCTTTCCCGCTCCGGCTCTCGGGGGCGCGCATGTCGTCAGCCGCGTTGGCGCGTGGCCGGCCTCGGCGGCGCGCACCGTGCCCCCGCCCCCACCACACCGCGCGCGAAGGCCCTCGCTCTGACCGGCGACCAGCGGCGGTTGACGCGAAGTTTTCGAGGCAAATGGCGACAGCCAGAAACAACAGCAAAAACAAAAGGAAAGAATGGCCGGCGGCTTCCGAAAGAAACACAGAGCCGAGAGCCTGCGACTCAAGTAAATAGTGCAAAAAGATAGTCAACAGGCAAAAACAAAGTTGCTGGAAAAGCTTAGCAGGTCTGGCAGCATCTGTGGAGGAGAAAACAGAGTTCTGAGGAAGGGTCACCGGATCCGAAACGTTAACTCTGTTTTCTCCTCCACAGATGCTGCCAGACCTGCTGAGCTTTTCCAGCAACTTTGTTTTTGTTCCTGATTTACAGCATCCGCAGTTCTTTTGGTTTTTAGTCAACAGGCAAACTTTGTGTCAGCTGCCGTTCACTCGGCGGTGCCGCTCCTGACTCTTGACTCGCAAGGTTCAAGTCAAGGGGCTTGAATGCGGGGGAAAAAAAAATCAGGGTTTGATGGTCTATACTGAGGAGGTGCTGTCTGTTGGATGAGTTGTTAAACTGAATGACCACCAGCCTGCTCAGCTGGGTGTTGAAAGAAGCATGGCGCTATTCAAGAGCATTATCCTTGGTGTCCTGGCCCATATCTAGATTCATACAGCCCTGGAAAGAAGCCCTTCGGCTCACGGCCATCAAACATTCATTTACTCCAAACCCATTTCCCAGCATTTGGCCCATAGCCTTTATGACATGGCTTTTGAAGTGCTCATCTAAATATTTCATAACTGTCTTGAGCATTCCTGCCACTGCAACTGTTTTAGGCAGTGAGTTCCAGATACCCAAAACCTTCTGGTTGGTTAGCTGGTTTGCAGTGCAGAATTACATCAATATCATTGGTTCAATGACCACACCAGTTAAGGTTACCATGAAGGATTTTCCTTCTTAACCTCTCCCCTTGCCTGAGGTTAAAGTCACCACTCCTCATCTCTCTTTAGTGAGACAGCAGCCCCATGTTCCAGGAGGATTATGGCAACTTTACCTTCATTTACCAAACTACAAATTTTCCTACCATGTACAAACTTACTGATCATACTTCTTACATTCTCGATCATTATTATACAAAACAAACTGCAAGGAACCAGTACTGATCAGTACCCTGTGGTACCCAACTGAACACAGGTCACCAATCACAGAACACCCTGTGACCATCACTATTTCTTCCTGCCACTGAGCAAAATTTTGGATCCAATTTGACAAACTGCCATGGATCCCATGGGCTCTGAGTTTCTTAACCACTTGCCATGTGAGACCTCAGAAGCCTTGCTGAAGTCCACATAGACAACATCAACTGCACTGACCGAGTCACCTCAAAAACTTCAATGAAATTTGTTGGACATGGTCTCACCTTCTTTAGCTATACTGCCAGTCCTTGATTAATGCTTGCCTTTCCAATTAAAGATGAGCCCTGTATGCCAGAATGTGTTCCGATAGTTTCCCTACTGTAGATGTTAGACTCACCAGCCTGTTGTTTATCCCTAACACCTTTCTTGAATAATGGTATTGCTTTAGACATCTGGCACCCCTCCTGATGCCAGACAGGATTTGAAAATTAATGTCAGAGCCCATACAATCTCCCTGTTTGCCTCCTACACCTGCTTTGAATGTATATCACCTGGGTCTGAGGATTTAGCCACTTTCAACCCTGTTAAAACCACTAATACCATCTCCTTCTCAATGCTAATTTGTTCAAGTCTATCACAGTTCTAGACCTACATTGTCCTTTTCTATACAGTATGGAACTGGCGGAACACAGCAGGTCAGGCAGCATCAGAGGAACAGGAAAGTCGACATTTCAGGGCAGGATCCTTTATCATGGCTGGGGAGGGGGAAGGGAGCTCAGAAATTGTAGGGGAGGGCGGGCGGTGAGGCTGGGCGAAGGCAAGCAGGGTGGTGATAGATAGATGCAAATAGGGGATTGTGAAGATCGACCAATGCGAAGGGTGGAGTGGATAGGTGAGAAGGAAAATGGATAAGTCGTGTCAGGTCTAGGAGGTAGGGATGAGAGGGAGGGCTGGACATAGGATGACGCCACTCTGCGCCCTGCACACTCCAATCAACATCACCTTTCGGTTGCCAGCCATTTCAACTCCCCTTCCCACTCCCTTGGTGACATGTCCATCCTGGGCCTCATCCAATATCACAATGAGGCCACAAGAAAATTGGAAGAACGACACCTTATATTCCGTGTCGGAGCTTACAGCCCAATGGCCTCAACATAGAATTCACTAACTGCAAAATCTCCCCACCTCTGGCCTCCTGTCCAGCCTTCCCTCTCATCCCCACCTCCTAGACCTGACACAACCTGTCCATCTTCCTTCTCACTTATCCCCACCCCTCCCATTGACCAATGTCCACAAGTGCATCCACCTATCACCACCCCACCTGCCTTCGTCCAGTCCCGACCCCACCCTCTAAATATTTCTGGGCTCCCTTCCCCCTCCCCAGTGCTGATGAAGGGTCCCGACCCGAAATGTTGACTTTACTGTTTCTCTGATGCTGCATAGCCTGCTCTATTCCTCCAGCTCCACATTGTACTGACTGTGATGTCCAACATCTGCAGTTCTTGCTATCTCCTTGTCCTTTTCTATTGTGAGTACAGATGCAGAAGTTCTCATTTAAAACCACAGCATGTCTGTGAGCTGCACACCACTGCTGCTCTGGTCCCTAATGGGCCCTACTCTTATCCTGCTCTATTAATCAATATTACAAAAAATAGATTATCCTCACTATCACATTATTCACCACATTAATAAAAAAGCTTTTCTGAATAAGGGTACTAATCTGTGATACCAACAGAGCCAAAATAGTAATTCAACATTAGTTACATGTTGGGGGTAGGGGGAAAGGTGGGATGAGCTGGGCAAATGTGAATCGGTATGTATAAGAAAAACTTTATTATAGAAAGCAGAAAATTGCTGGGGGGGTATTCCAGCGGAATATCTCTGCTGATAAATGTTAATTTTTTTTAGCTTGAGTTAATGTATTATGGTTATTGGTTAATGTTAAACAATTTCATGTTAGGGTGTTGCTGAAAAAAGCCACATTTTGTTGAAGCTTTTTGTCTTGCATTCGTCAGGATACTTCACAAAAATACAAATTCGTGGCCAAAACTAAATTGAAATTTCATATGAGGAGAGTACTGACTGGTTGTCAACTTGACTCTGATTCTTACATTGCTATGGAGAATGAACCCATTAATACTGGTTAACAGTTAACTGCCAGCCTTTGTTTAAATTCAACACAAAGAAGGTTGACCCTGATTAGTCAAGGCAATGTCCTGAGAAATGAACCAAGGAATAGCTGTCACCAATTTTATATTTCAATTGATTGAGTTTTAGTCTAGAGAATGACAAAATAGTGAACCCTGAATTTTCTACAGGCTGATCAATCGCTTCCTAAAAGAATTGCTTAATTATCACACTATCCTTCAATTCACAAAGACACACGATGAACGAGCTTCCCAACATTTTATGAGATATGTTCATCTACAAACATTCCTGTTCAAGCCAGCAGTCTTTCTCTCTGCCCACATTGTTCATAGAATCCCTACAGCATGGAACGGGTCAATTGGCCTAATAAGTCCACAGTGCCCCTCCAAAGAGCATTCCACCCAGACCCATTCCCTGTAACCCTGCAATCCCCATGGCTAATCCACATAACTTACACACCCCTGGACACTATGGGCATGGCCAATCCATCTAGCCTGCACATGTTTGGACTATGGGAGGAAACCCATGCAGACACAGGGAGAATGGTTCAAATATCGTATTGCATGCCTGAATCTTCTACACAGACAGCTGCCCAAGGATGGAATCGAGCCCAGGTCCCTGGTGCTGTGAGGCAGCAGTGCTAACCACTGAGCCACCGTGCCACTCATAATTCAAACAAGTATTTTTCTCCCATAAATATTTTCAAATCAGCATAAAGAAGAGTGCTGGGGATGCCAAACGTCTGAAATAAAAAAAAACCTGGTCAAAAAATCTCAACAGGTCAGGTAGCACCTGTGAAGAGAGACAGAGTTAACGTTTCAGGTTGCAATGACCTATCTGAACTGATGAAAAGTGATTTTTTAAGTGTTAATCATTCAGTCTAGTCTCATGCTTGTCATCCAGACTCTGCAAACTGACATCTTTGGTAGCCTTAATGCATTTGCTCCCTCCAAAGACAATACTGGAACTTCCCCACTCTATTTTGGTTAATAGTGGTACTAATCTTTCTTGGCATCTCATTTGGGGATAGAGACAGACAAGCACATATATGCAGATGGGAGGCAAAGTTGCCTGGGCTCAGAATAGTTTTCAGGCACACTTAAGGAAACATTAATGTTGAATTGAGACTAATGTAAATTTGTAGTATTCCATTTCAAATTAATTAACATTTTTCCTTAAGAGATTAAAGAAGATAATTTCTAACATCAGTTGTTTACAGCATTTTTAAGAGAACAGGAAAATTCACAATACAGAAGATTGAACAAAGGTTTGTTTTAATATATATATATCTTTATTGATGAAACAAAGACAATAATCATAAAAAGAAAGACAGGTAGCGGGATAGGACTGCATGTCGGTTTCTCAATTAACAATGTCACAGAATGGTTGGAGAACTTGCAGAAGGCTTATTTGCTACAGGATTTTGAAATCTAGATTATTGGTTTCTCAACTCATCTTCCTATTTTTCTAAGATCCCTTATCATTACATTATAGTAGAAGCAAAAAGGTGGTTTGACCCTTAACCAAACTAATCAATTATTTTTAAGTAAATCATGAAGAACAGTTTGCAGTATCACAATACTACTAACTGGAACTTTGTTGAAAGC